TGCTGTATGGTGCTTAGGATGGCGATACTCACTGACGATGCTGGCGAAACGTTTGGGAATGTACCACGTCTACGGTTCAACTTTGGAAAGGAATCGCCTTCAAAGCAAATAAATTTCTAATTGAACTTTAATACTACTAATAAAAGTAACATTATCATAAAGTTGAACAATTATTATGGAGTAAAGTAAAAAGCCGACAACCATTAACTCCAGCTATTTCAATAAAAAAATCCTTGCTACATTAACAACGGGTTTGCTCGAACACAGCTCATATATGTTCATTTTACTAACTTTCATCGTCGGTCTCATTCTTCAGTGCGAGTCTAAGTTCGGCAAGGGCCTCGCCGAGGCAGGCCTCGAGACGTTGAGAAGCCGTTGCTTGTGTCCGTAGCTCCATTAAGAGCCTGTCGCTTAGGCGAGCCGTCAATCCAGCCAAACGGTCTCCCTCAAAGGGAGCTAAGGCTGCGTCGTTATTAGAAGAAGCTGAGATACTCTTCGCAAAGGTGTCATAGGCCCACCAAAGCAACTTGGAGCTACACAGTCCACTCGATGTCTGGTAGAACTCCACCAAGCTGGCCTTTTCAAAGAGTTGAAGGGAGGTAAAATAGAGGGTATAACAAACGAGTCGTGGGGCTTCATGTTCTAAAAGATAAAATCCCACATATATTTTGTTAAGTAGTGAAATGATACGAATCATAGATGGATATTTTTACAATCTATTGTCGATTTTCCGATGATGCTCTGATGGGAAGAATCGTTTTTGCTGCAAATTCGGAATTTGACGTGCGTTCCAAAATTGAGATCTCGTCCTGAATAGATTGTGGTTTTGACAGTTTATATTTCTCTCCACACATTCCTAAAGTAGATGAGATGCAGGGTAAATATCCGATTCATTTCATATCATGGTGGGCAGAGAGATAAACTTACATAAATCTTTAAAAAAGCAATCAAGTTCTCCTCTAATATGCTTTATCACAAGAATGGCAACATATATAAAAATAAGCCACCGAAAAGATTCCAGCAAATCATCCAATTTGTAGGCTTGATATTTTATGTTGACACTAAGCATCAAAGGTGAGCAATAATTAGGAAATATATTCCGATGTTTCTCTCATTTTTCGCAACATCATTTAGAAACATCATCTGTGGATGTAAGATGTATACTGGCATACCTTCATTTCGTTTGAGAAAGTTGGTGGAAGGGATTCATAGATTGGCCTAACCGGATAGCGAAGGAGGGTTGCCATGGTCTTTTCTCTGTTGAATTGTTCGAAGTAGACCTCAGCGCATCGTCCTACGTGCTGGCAACGTCAGAGCCAGAAACCATTATTCATTAACGATCACCCAAAATGATAAACTAAGAAAGCTGGCCAGCCGAGATCCTATGTACTTCTTATACCTCACTTTCCGATCTTAATGAGGCATGAGATGGTTTAGTGGGCTATTTCATGCTTGTCCTACATGCATATAAGCGAGCCAAAGTGATGCAGGGAGGGGAGCGACGGTAGTCTCAACTTTTGTCGGTGTCAATAAACTAGCCTATAATCCTGCAATCCTGCGGCTTGCTATAGCTTCGTGGATTCGTGTTCGTGTGTGCATGCAACAACCACGAGTTGGTTGGCAATTTTACGTCCCAAAATAGACTCTAGGTTAGTTTGATCTTCTCCTCCTAGTTAGTGGCTCTTCTTGTTATCTTTCTTTCTTTACCTCTCCGTCTACATTCATCCAGCAGCAAGAGATAATTCTTGCTTAATTTCCCACAATCGTTCATATTATTCAGGGTGTTATTTGATTTGGCAACCTCAATCGACTCCTTGATCTTCCACCTAGCTGTGAAATCCCTAATCCGGCAAAACTTTGGGATCTGGACCACTCTATTTGGTGCCCCGTAGTGCTCATATGCTCAGTCACCTCCGATTTTTAAATCTATAAATCTTTGCAAGTGGATAC